TTATCTTGGCCAAATATTCCACGGTGATATCCTGATCCTTAACCGAATTTACGTAGGAAAATCTCAAAATTACTAAACTTTAACTCAACAAAAATGACTCGAAAAAAAGAAATATCTGCAAAATATCTGGTTTATTTAATGAAGTTATTTAATGAATATTATTCTCAAAATTTAGGGAATCGATTCACGCGATAGGTAACCAATTTAGGTAGTTTTCCGAACTTAAGGTAGCTCTGAAGTAGAGTTAAGGTAGCAGGTAGCTCTAATTCTCCGTATAGATTTTATATCACGACAAAAAGGTAACGGTTTATAAAATCTTACTCTCTCTCTGGAGTTCCGCAGGTGACGAATTCGCCTGGAATTTCGTCACAGATTATTCCTCAGAAAAATACGCGTAGCTCGGTAAATTCGGCCTAAAACATGGATTCCCTTCGGTCCCCACACTCGATATTTATCTCAAAGCGTTACTCAACTCTCTAACCCCTAACCTCGACTTTCGTCGCACTTTTTTCCTACTTTTTTAAACCCCAAAAATGCTCTAAACAAAATCCCTCAACGCTCGATAAAGGCACTAGGTCCACAATTCGCGATTCCAAAGGATCTCCTTACCTACTCACGCATTGATTTCGTTCCTGACGTTCTCTGGATCTCGATGCCCCTTAGGAATTTCCCCAGAACTCCTTACACCCCTCTTCCATGACAGGATCCAGTTGGTTTCGCCAAATGGTGTGGCTGTAGTCCATCGGCAGCGTGCAGGTATCTTTATCTTGGTATGACAGCTCCTCCTTGGGCAAACTCGAACCCGCGACCTGGAACTAGAGTCCCATGCTCTCCTCGATACTGAAAACACGTATTCTCAATAATAAACGAACTTTATTCTATGCTCTAGGCATCATGTTCTTACAAAATCTCAATGCAATACTGATTGCACTAAATGTGGGGTGTTCTATGCTTTTAGCATCACGATATTCTTAACTTAAGGCAGTCTCTCAGTTACATATCACAATGTCAGGGACTGGAAGTTAGCAATATCCTTAGGCTCTAATATCACGACTTAATGCACGAGAATGTAGCATCAATCAATTATAGAACATTGAGGCACTTTGGCAGTGGTTAGCTCCGAACGCGTAAAGCATTATGAAGCAAACTTATGAATAATTCAGTAAGTGTAAATGGATTTTGTCCGCCGAGAGACTGTCGATCTTCGATGTAGCTTCGACACTTCAGGGCTTCTGCCTCTCCGTAGTTTTTATTTTCCCTGACCGGCATGGACGTTGGCTCCTGTCCCGCGGGCGGTGACCGGCCAATCGATCACGGCCTTTTTATCACAATCAAAATAATCACGGCAAAAATATCAAAAACCAAAATATCATGAACCAAAAATATCACAATCAAAAATATCACGAACAAAAAGATTACAGCCAAATGATCACAAACAAAAATATCACAGTCCAAATGATCATAAATAATCCTTTAAGCCTCCTCGTTGTATAAAAATTGAATTCTAATTCCAACGGGTCTTTCTCCTCACGTATCAATCAGATAACTAAGGAAATACCTATTATTTCCATGAAAACTCAAGTTGGTGAGCGAGATATTCATTTTTGGGTTGTTATTGTTTACTCTTATTATACATTCCATGGAACCAAATCATGGAATGGATAATAAGAAATGGTTACTTGGGCTTCCATTCGTTTGTGATATTGTTGTTTGTGATGTTTCAGCTGTGATATTCTTATCGGTGATATTTTTGCTTGTGATATTTTTGTTTGTGATATTTTTGACGTGATTTTTTTGTCGTGATATTTTTCTTCGTGATAAAAAGTACTGTAACCACCAAAAATATCACAATCAAAAATATCACGAACAAAAAGATCACGGCCAAATGATCACAAATAATCCTTTAAGCCTCCTCGTTGTATAAAAATTGAATTCTAATTCCAACGGGTCTTTCTCCTCACGTATCAATCAGATAACTCAGGACATACCTATTATTTCCATGAAAACTCAAGTTGGTGAGCGAGATATTGATTGTTGGGATGTTATTGTTTACTCTTATTATCCATTCCATGGAACCAAACCATGGAATGGATAATAAGGAATGGTCGCTTGGGCTTCCATTCGTTTGTGATATTGTTGTTTGTGATGTTTCAGCTGTGATATTCTTATCGGTGATATTTTTGCTTGTGATATTTTTGTTTGTGATATTTTTGTTTGTGATATTTTTGACGTGATTTTTTTGTCGTGATATTTTTGTCCGTGATAAAATATACCGTAACCGTCCCGGGCAATTCATCCGCCGATGATTCTCTCATCCTCCGGATGAGCATGGATTCATAGGTCGAGGGTACTCTCCCCCGGTCTAGGTGAATTCAGCCCAGACAACTCATCCCACACAATTTCATCCCGGACAACTCATCCCAAAACATATTCATCCCATGAAAAATTCATCCCAAAATTCAAATTTCAATGAAATTTTCAACGTCAACAAAAGAAAATAAGGGGAAAGTGAATGGATTCTTTATTCTCAAAAAGCAAACACACTAAACATGATATGAAAAGCAATTAAATATATCACCATTTCTACACAATCTCCTTTACACCACCGATCAACGGATCTACGATAAACATTCCAAGAGACACCATTGAATAAGTCTTCATCCATCACAACAAATATTCGTCAAATACGCGACAATAATAGCCCACGTTGAATGCGTCACAATACCATACCATGTCATTGACGAAATTAATTAACGGTTTATACGAAACATTTCAAATAACCCACTGGAAAGAAATTATTCATTATAACTACCATCCATTATAATCATAACAAAGGTCAAATTAAAAGTCAACATTTTGAGCCACATTCTCCGAATATTTCACAACCCGTCCAGCATCATATCTATCCACAACTCGTTCCAAACGTGCTTCATAGTCCACATTTTTTCTTCTTTTCTTCGGTCCTTCACGTCCAGCCTCCTGTTGATGAATTTTTAATTCAGTAGCGCCTTGTTCAGACTTCAATACATTAATTATTTTCTAAATAGAAAGATGACTAGCTTGTGACCGAAACTCGAACCCACTGTGCCACCCTTCACATGTGTTATTCATACGAGGCTCATGATTCTTAACGGAATCATAGTGATTCCATAATGACGGATCAAACCTGGGTGGACGACGAACACCCCGACGATTAACCTCTCCAAGCCAAGTCTTCTCATAATAATCCAAAAGTGGATTCAATAATTCTTTATTATTCACATAAAACTTCGATTCCATCAAAGCATCGTAAGCGGCAGACAGGTCCTCACCTGGAATAAATGCCAAGCCAATCAGAGTACGCAAATTTAATGCAAACATCGCATCCCCATGTACTGCTCTTGCAACCCAGTCCCCTGAATGTGTGACCACACACTTTGGGCGAAATGAAAAAAACAATCCTTGACGATTGTCTCAGGGAATACGTCCACTACTTCCTGGTGAAATGCCAATTCAAAATCACACATGACTTTTTTCGGGTTCAAACGAGGCTCACATCTTTTCAATCTCATCAACACATCCTTATAAACTTTCTTACTTTTACTTGTACTCAAAATAAACACGAGAGGAACTGGTTGTATGTCATCCCGAACACCATGAATAGTATACAGCTGTTGAAATACATGTGGCACACAATCAAATGTTCCATCAGCAAACCACATTTTACACGATGCCATGATCTCGAGATTTTCACTGGTTGTAAACACCAAAGTCCGTGTTGATTGTCCATCGTCCCGAGAATCCCAAAACAAAAATGGGTCACCTTTCAATGTGTGCCTGAACTCCTCAGGGATAGTCAGCTCATTAGCGGATTTGGGATCAGCTGGAAGAGAATTATGTTGAGCACGATAACGACGGAATGTGCGTTTCATATTATCCACAGCAGGAAGCCGTGCGGTAGTTGCATTGTCACCTTTCCCAACAACGTGTGTAACAACATTAGATACTGGCCCCGAATCAGTCTTCATCATTCTCTTCCCTTCTTCCATCACTTTCTTAGCATTAACTTCACCAATATTAGACGCATGATAATGAATTCCCGTCCTTTTCAAAAATTTTCCTGAAAAATACAATAGCATTTACACTCAGCACTGACTAACACTCAACAAAATAAAAAACATCAGCAACACTTACCGCTGCATAGCTCAGGTGTCGTAAGCGCTCGAGCTTTACAACCATTTTGGAAATGTCTGCATCGCCATGCAACATCATTATCATCACTACGATGCTTAACCAATAAATTTCCCCCGTCGACGAGCATTTTTGCTCCGCGTTGACTTAAAACAAATTCCAAAGGCATAGTGGGTTTTATCCAGAACAAAGACAATCACAATTATCAGCGAACAGTAGAACATGTTAACTAGCCGGCGCTCTACGCGTGACTAATTCCAATACCACTAACGACGAAATTTCTATACCCCGGCCGAAGTTCAATACCCTGGTAATCCGATGAATCACTAATCCGATGAATCCAAATATTTCACATTCTAAGTTGTATGTTATCTTGGGATGAATTTGTTTTGGTATGAATTTGTTCTGGGATGAAATTGTATTGGGATGAAATGTCATGGGATGAGTTTGTAGGATGAATTATCCCGGGATAAATTCACCGGATACCCTCTCCCCCTCTGCGATTGTTGTTCTCTCTGGCGATAATTGAACCTTGCTCCTGAGTTGACAGTTTATCCCTAGATAATTCTCTCATCCTCCGGATAAGTATGGAATTCGTCCATCAACGATATTCTCATCGTCCGATGAGCACGACTCGTAGGCCATTACTGACCAGGCTTCGGCTGGGAGTTAGCCTTGAGGAAGTTCACTAACCCCTCAGGGTCCCTCATGGCTATCTGAAGCAGAGTTTCGTCGGTCTTGAGGTTAGTCAGGGGGTCTTTAGGAGGTGTGGGGTTAGGGATGGTTGAAGTGGATGGGATTACAGGATTGGAGGTGGGGTCTTCTCTCTCCGAAATCGGAGCATTGGTGAGGGATGGCCAGTCGACCTTGGTCCCGATGGTGGTGCTGGGTAGGTCTCCCGAGAATTTCTTCGGGATTTTCCATGCTGGGGTTGGGCCACTCGCTTTGCGTGTGGCTCCCCGTGTCTCATAAGGGGCCTCAGTTGGAGTAACTGGGGACTGGATCGGTGGGGTTGTCAGTCCACGTGACCGTAGAAGGGGAAGGTGTCCCGCCATAGGGGCGCTGGTGGTGGTCCTCGTGTACGGTGTCGTCACCGTGGGTGTTGACGCACCGCACGGAGTAGGGGAGGTAGTAATGGTCTGAATGGGAGCTCGCTGGACGCTGGAGTTGGTGTTGCGAGGGATCTCGGCTGGTTTCACCCCTAGTCGGGTCAGTCGACACCTCGCCTCCTCGTGGCGCTGGTCTTTCCGGAGACGCCCAAATTTATCCACTCCCCACGCACCACAGGAAGTGTAGAATAGGTGGGTGAGCATGTTGGAGCATTCAGACCAACCGTGCCCTCGTAGGTGATATTTATGTTACCTAGTGGGTTTCTTCGAGGCTGTGCAGGGTCGGGGCTTAACGTCCTGGACAATGGGCGGCACTCCAGTGCTCATGGGCTCCTCGAAGGGCAGGTTACGGACTGGAGGTTGTTTAGTCCGATAAGAGGATTCAAAGAATCCGGGTCCTCGTGGGGGCAGTAGCTCTTCCATGGCGTCGTCCTCCGAGGCGTGAAACTCGAGGACGTCTGGTGGGGACTTCTCCTCGACCGTGTCCCCAGATGAGGCATTGGGAACCGTAGGGTTTGGGGTTACTGGAGGTGCGGAATCAGGGGTCGGGGTATCGGATGGGGAAAAAGGTTGTCTCTCAGGGAAAATGGGATTGTTCTCCTGAGCATGGGGATCTGTGATTGGGGTTGGGGGAGGTGTCTCCACGTTGAGTGGTAAGGATCCTGGGAGGAGAGTCTCCGAGTTGTCAGCGATGCTCACCGGAGTCGTGTGAACTGCTCCGGTGCATAATTGGGTCGTATGTTCGGCGATCATCAGGCTCTGAGGCCGTCCATCATGGCATTGTTACATCCTCCCATCTCGGCAGCAACATCTGAAACTCGCAGAAAGCGAAAATTAGTAAATAAGGACTTTATATCAAACCAAGAAATGTACCCAAATTAATTATTCTTCACAAAATAACATAATCAAAACGTGAACCTCAATAATTCACAATAACAGAACTTCTGGAAATGAAATAGAACCTTATTAACCAAACATAATAAAATTTGCAATAAAATATAATTAATCTAAATAAAAAAGACCGAAAAATTACGATGCGGAATTCTTCCACCGGATGAAAAATTCCACTCCAACCCAGCAGTCTCAAAACTGCTGAATTTGCGCTCTTGCACCGGACGAAGAATTCTGCTGACCTGAAATGGCGGAAACAAAAAGTAGTATATAAGACAGCACCACTTTGTAAAATTAGTTTAGTCGAAACCTAAACTCCAAATAAACCACTTCTAATTTACCTCTCTAAATTTTCCTGAGATTCAGCAGATACGATTGCCCATCTCTCTGAAAACCTTAAAGGAATAGAGCGGATACGATCGCCCAATTTCTATTTCATTCCTAACACCCTCGAGAACCGAGCAGATATGGTTGCCCACTCTCGAGGAATCCTTTCCTAAATACCCACGACTGGACCCATGAAGAAGAAGGGGCATCGTGCCGGGAGGAAATATCAACTCAGGAAGTTAGCCATAATTTACCGCACCTCTCAGCCAGTGGACCTCGATCGTCTCTTGTCCTCTCCTAGAAGACAGAGATAGCCAAAATGATCGAACCGGTCCACTTCGTAACAAAAAGAGGAAGTGACGAGAATTTCATAATAAAGGGCAACTTACTTTGAGTTGAGAGAAATTTCCACGTCCCTATATCAGAGGCGGCCGGTAGACCCTCATTCGTGCCCCAGCCTTCAACTGCTCAACCCCGGGGCGAGCCAATCTCCAAAGGATATAGTTCTCGCCAGGAAAGAAGGAACATCGGGTTTTTGCCGATGGCCTCCCTCCACTTCGCCGACGGACGCGCAGATTTTTCTGTCCAACCGCCGCACCCCGATTTCGCTGGTTCTACGCCGGGAACTATTTGCCGTGCAACAGAACCTCCTGCACTCGAAATATTTCGGTGTTTTTGTGCAAAAAAAATATTTTCATGTGAATAAATCATAGTGATTAATAACAATAGTGGCTAATAGTATCTATTATTAAAAAACATCCCTTCTAGAACTTCTCATTCGGTAAGTAATGGCATTTCTTATGGCTAGGTTATGTTCTCTTCAATGTTATTGTTCTACCAGTGCATTTGCAATATTTGTTATAAAATGCACCTCTGGAGTGATAAATTATTGTTGTTGAAAAATTATTCCCAATCTCACGAAATTTTTCTTCATTGTTGGAACAATAAATGAGTCTATAATTGTCTTTATATTTATATTTAAGTCTTTTAATTAATTAACAAGTCTCCGAATAAATCGTGATAATTCACCGGGAATATTTTGGTTAATTGTCAGTTTATTTAAAAAACCTGTGATTTCGAGAGAATATGTCAAAAGCCCATTCTTTTAAATCTAGGAATTTTCTGGGAAACAGGTCATTTGATGTTTTTTGTTAAACCTATTAGTTGCAAGGATATTTGCAAAATAAACAGTGAATCCTTTTTTGATCCTCATTTCGTGTCAATAACCAAGATATTTCCTTTGGTTTCTAATGCTCAAGTCCTTCTTTTTCTATGAACTATATATATATATATATCTCATTTAAAAGCTTAATACATAAGTTTCAATAGGACACCTGATTTGTTGAATTCTGACTCTTTGGCATTCATTTATGACAGTTTTGGGCGAAAATTAAATTTTTATCTTTCTTTTCAACAATTAACTTTGGATTGATTTTTTGATAGTCCTAAGTGAACTAGACATGAATATTTATGCATAATTTTGGAGAGCCTTTAGTGTTCTCCTAAATGGCACATGATAATTCTGATTTAATCCAATTTTCATCAAGTTATTGCAGATTGTTCCCATCTTTACTTCCGAATGAAAGCTTCGTAACCGTTCAAATTTATGTTGTGGTCTTTTGTGTTATATCTACTGTGTATGATAGAAAATTACGACATTGCAATTCTTAGACCTCGTCTGTAGGTGGGTGTGTATGTGTGTACGTATGTAACAAAGTATTTCTTCAATTGTTCGGAAATGTATCGATGAAATTGAATATTATTTTTTTCAAGTGTAGGTATTGTTGGGCCCTATCAATCGCTATTAATTGAAATCAAATTTATCGATTTGTTTTTTTAAATGTCGAATGTTTTCGAAAATTGGTTATTCCACGATAACGAAAAATTAATGTTCGCAATTAATTAAATAATGGCTTGAAAAATGTTGTATTACAGGAGGCTTTATTTGACGTCAACGTCAGAAACCTTAGTTTATAATTATTTAATTTTACTAGGGGGCTTCGCCCCCTGCTCGCTTCGCTCGCACCCCCCAATCCAACTGTCAGCTCCCCCACCGCGATTGACCCTCGGACACCCTCCTCCCTTCTAACCCCCCGACCTTGGGCTTCGCCCCCTGCTCGCTTCGCTCNCCACCGCGTTTGACCCTGGGACACCCTCCTCCCTTCTAACCCCCCGACCTTGGGCTTCGCCCCCTGCTCGCTTCGCTCGCCAACCCCGGGGGGCTTCGCCCCCCCGCTCGTTTCGCTCGCTCCCTCCCCAATCCAACTGTCAGCCCCCCCACCGCCTTTGACCCTGGGACACCCTCCTCCCTTCTAACCCCCCCGACCTTGGGCACCCCCTGACCACCCCCTGACTACCCCCCTCACCATTAGGCGTCGCCTGAATTTTTGCGTCGCCTGAATTTTTGCGTTGTTACGTACCCTGTACGTGGGTCATACGACGTACGCAGCTGTTTCAATTTTGTTTTTCTTTATATTCTTTCAACCGAAGAATATTCCCATATGTTACCTCGAATTATTTATCGCTACAGTATCGTTAATGTCACAATGTGATATGACAAATGTGAAGAGTTAATTAAACTCCGGTTATCAAGAGCATCACAATAAGTGGCCTAATAGAGAGTTAAAAGGGTGATTCATACTAATCAGTTGGAGCACTTTAGGATTGATACGAAGACTATGGACAACTATCGCCAGGTAAAAAAAAACAGAAGGAACAGCCAAGGTGTCACGCGCCTATTCCAACTGCTTGGAAAAACCTGACATCTGATCCTGTGGATAACTTGCGGCTAGGCCATAAACAT